GAAATAAAGTCAGAAGCCAGTTTCAAAGGAAATTTAAGTAGGTCAATCAAAACCTGCTACATATGAGGAAGTATTAGGTGGCCCTCAGATGGAAAGGTCAAGCTAAACTGGATAGAAAGAAACCAAGGATAGATATATTTGTATATTCATACCATGAAAGTTGCTAATATTTCTAATTTGAATGATGACATGAACCTCCCAGCCACTTATGCTTCAAATCCATGACTTGTTTTCCTTGTTATTTCTCCATCCTTGCCTTATGTTTAAACAATAATTTCTCTCCCAATCTCACGCTTTCTTTCCATGATTGCTAACACTGCCTTCATTCAAGTCCTTATCACTCCCTTGCATGGACTATGGCAAAAAGCTATAACTAGTCTGTCTTCAACCTCCCATTTCCTACAAGCCATCCTTTGTCCTGCTTGTCAGATTAATCTTTCTAAAGGACCATATTCATTTCATGTCTACTGCTCAATTTCTGTTACTTCACAGCCTCTAAAACTTATTCTACATTTCAAATGCGATTACTATTAAGTCCATTCAATTTTGTTCCAATTTATTCTTTTGGTTTTATTTTCTTGTATTCCCACAGACTTTTCTGGAACGTATGCTGCAGAGTGCTTCCCTAATGTCCATTCTCCCTTCATTCTTACTAACAGAACCCTGATTTTGTTTGGAGTGACAACATACCCAGCAAAGGGATGCCTTTTCCAGGTTCCTGTGCAACTAGGGTGGCCTGTGAGATATAAGCAGACAATGTTGGACAGGTTTTTCAGGAGAATTTGTAAAAGGGGAGCTGATTCAGCTGGGAGAACATCCGTTTGCCCTTCATTCTTTCCTTTTTTTTTTTTTTTTGGCCTAGAAGGCAGATGTGATGACTCCAGCTTCAGCAACTGTTTTGGACCACAAGGCAAACCTCATGATGTAGGCCTCATGCTAAGAAGGGTGAAGCTGAATCTTTGATGACTTTGGTGCCATCACAGAAGCTCTGGGTGTCCCATCTTTGGACTTCTTTTACATGGTTGCAAAATAATCGTCTGTTTTTCAAAATCACAGTATTTACACACTAGTTTACTGATATATGTGGCCATATCTCATCTTAGCAGATATATCTCCCTTCTAGCCAACTTGGTTTGCCCACTGTTCTCCAAATGAGCAGGGCATTTTCCCACCTCTCTAATTGTACTCATGCCACTCCTTTATCTAAAACACCTACTAAATACAACTAAATTTTACCTCCTGTAGAAAATACCTTCCCCCAAAGTGTTGCCTCTTGCTTCATGATCTCCATAGCATTGTTTTATTTATAAACAAATCATAGATAGCTTTAAAAAGTTTTCTCTTTGTTTGAAATTGTTACTGGTATCTTATTACTTACTCTTTATGTATTTATTTTGAAATAACTTCTTGAGAGCTGAGTCTTAGACCTCTTTTTCTTTTACATATAGCACATAGCACAATCCTAGCACACAGTAGGAGCTTAATTAATGTTTGTTGATATTAATACTGTGATGGAAGCAAATGAATGTGATGAATGAATGGAAAAAAATGACTATTGGAAAATTTTATTTTAACTATACATTTGGGACTACTCCAGGTAAAAGAATGATGCAAATATCATCACAGTTCATAATCCCACTATATGCATGTGTTCTGCATTTAATAGCAGTTAATTGAGTTCCAAACATATGGACAGAAATGCTCAATAAAGAGTCCCAAACAAATGTAAAACATTATTCTCACAGAAACAATGCTGAAATCTTAAGTCTTTTTAGTAAAAAAAACTTACGAACTGAGTGAGTAAAAATGGGGGCAATGACTATATTTCCCATTTAAGTTGTTAACCTTTTCATAATGTAATGGGAGAATTCCTACCAAATGCTGTGGTTTTTTGAACCACAACTCGTTGGCATTGAACTGACAAAATTCCTAATATATACTAAAGAATTTTGGATTATTTCCAAAACATCAGAGCATGAGGGTGGAAAGTGGACAATGACGGGATAGTTGCCTCCATTTTCTAAGGTAGTCTGAAAGTTCTCAGGGAGTAGTGGACTAATAAGTCTAGTAGAAAAAAAATCAATGCATGAATGCTTTATAATCAGAGCCAACCTTTCATTACTGAGGTGTTCAAACATTTGGCTCTAATTTTTATAATAGTTTGCTGTCTCCTTTTCTCTAACCTACACGTATATTAATTTCAACAGTACAAGTTATGACGCCCCTACCTCAAACTGTATGTATCTTAAAAGATCCTTCTTTTGAGCAAATGTCTTTATATATTCCTGGAGCTTGCTGTGGTGCATATAGTTTGGGCAATCATCCGGGTAAGGGAAGTCTGGAAAGCACATCATTTCTTTGGAAGAGTTCGTGAACACAGACTGGTAAATGCTGGCTTTGCCTTCTTCTGTGTGGTCCTAGGGAGAATAAGGAATAGCCTTAAAAGAGAAGCCAAGAATTGTGTTCCCTTCAGCGAACACAGCGGTTTAATTCTTGGTTGACTAAAAAACCCTTTTAATATTTAAAAGCAATAAAAAAATTAAAAGCATCTCAGTAAGATATGGAATGGAAAGCCCTTCGCGTAGCACCTGGCACAGAACTGGAGATCTTTCACGTGAATCCTCTTACTGTAATTACACTCAGTGTTAGCTCTGTCTTTATAGTCACTTAGTGGTTTTTGCTGTCTCCTGTCCACCACTGGTTCTGACCTTATACTCAGGTTAAAACAAACAAAAACAAAAAACAAAACAGTTTAGAGGAGGCTTTGACTTCCAGCCTATATATTTGCTATTGGAGTTTAGCAAACTCTTCGTTGGCAACAACCCGATATTGAAGTGGTTTCCCAACTTGGCATAATCAGAATCACCTGGAGGGCTCCTTAGACCATAGATTCTTGGGCTCTATTCTTAGAATTTCAGATTCAATCTGTCTCGGGTAGAGTCTGGGTGGTTTGCATTTCTAAGAAGTTCCTGGTGATGCTGATGCCACTGGTTTAGGAACCACACTTTGACAACCACTGCTTTGTTGTAAATGAACCCTGTTCTTTGGTCACCAGTTGCTGGCCTTCACTCCTCACCAAAAAAACACAGGAAACCAGAGCCCTTAGAACATGTGTTAGATCTTGGCACTTCATTGTAAAGCCTCTGTGTAATTGAAAAGTGCTTATCTTTTAGAAGAGTCAAAGGCTACATTGAAAATAAACATTTCCTCTCAGTCGTGAGGGGAGGGTAAAAGTGCACACAATGTGCTGCCTTGAACATACATTTCAGAGCTGGAGCTTCTGCTTCCGAGGTCCCGAAGGGACTCTTGTGCAATGGGGGAAAGAGATGGAATGTCACGTTGCTGATGGATTCAAGATGTGTATCTCCCTCTCACACCAGATGACCTCTGGAAGAGGGAGACAAAAAGTGCTGGAAAGGGTTGAGAGGATTGTGTCCCAGTGGGGAAGCAGGCGGCTGCCCAACCTCAGTATTTTTTCTGAAGTTGAAAACCCAATTTCCTCTATTCATGGTTGCTGTTATTCTCATAAGCATGGAAGCACAGGAATTTAAACTTTTAAAAGTGTTTGTGGAGGTCAGGAAAGGGAAGGCTCAGCCCAGCAGTTTGGCAGGCTGAGTGCTTCCCTTTCACCCACAACTAGTGCCTTTTACTGATGGTTGTGAGGAGGAGGAGAGGTTGGAAGGAGTTTTTTTTCAGCTGCCCATTGAAAGGAGGCAGGGCTGAACTGTGGGAGGAGCCTGGTTAAAGAATGTGAGATCTGTTCTGGGAAACAGATGCTAAGGCCTTGGACTATTTCCATCTTGAAATATTTTTATGCCCCTTGACCCCAGGCAATTATAACACAAGGAGAGAAGAGTATGTACACTACAGCTCCTTGGAATTTTTCCTAAAACACTGTTCTCCAAACAAACACAAAAAAACAAATGTATTATATAACAAGTCAGTTGCTCCAGGGAGCATGCATTTTATTATTTCAATATGAGGTGTGGTTTGAGCCAGTAAGGAGGAAATTCAACTTAGTTCTGCCTCTAGCTGAGGGAGCTTGCCCTAGAACCAGAGATCTAAGCAGCTGTGGCACCATCTGTCTTAGATGATAACTGTTTCATCTCTCATCTTTCCCACGAGAACATAAGTAACTTGAGGGCAAAGGCAGAGGTTAATTTCAGAATGTTGTACATGCATCTGAGCAGTCCTACCTTGATCTTCTTTCCTATTCCAGCTCTGCTTATGAGTCCCATATCTCCTTGTCTAAATATGCCCTTGGAATACGCTCAAAAGTTGCCTTCAACTTTCTCATGCCTTTCCTTACCTTCCCTTTCAGCTACTGCCAAATCATCTTTAGCTTTACTAAGCTCCCATTATCCTTACTGCCCTCATTATATAGTCACTCATAGTTATTCTAATACTTGTTTTCTCACTGCTTTTACAGTGCTGACTGGTCTCTTATCTGCAGCTATGCTTAACATAGTACCCTACACATAATGTACTCAGTATGTATTCATCGAATGAATAAATGAATAAATGAGTGGGAAAAAGTTCAAATAGTCCTGGTTACAGCTGTTGCAATCAAAATGCTAATAACCTATTGTTAAGCTTTTTTTTTTTTTTTTTTAAATGGTGTCTTTCTTTGTTGCCCAGGCTGGCGTGCGGTGGCATGGTCTCAGCTCACTGCAACTTCTGCCTCCTGGGTTCAAGAGATTCTCCTGCCTCAGCCTCCTGAGTAGCTGTTAGCTGGGATTACAGATACCCACCACCACACCTGACTAATTTTTGTGTTTTTAGTAGAGATGGGGTTTTTTCGTGTTGGCCAGGCTGGAACTCCTGACCTCAGGTGATCCACTTGCTTCAGCCTCCCAAAGTGCTGGGATAATGGGCGTGAGTCTCCACACTTGGCTGTTAAGCAGCTTGTTATTAAGGCAGTAATAAAATCTTTTGAGGACATGAGGCCCTATTTAGGAGTGGATGAAACTGAAGACACACTCACATTCAGCCTGCTAGTATGTAAATCCCATTTGGTTTTCATTTCTCAGAAAAAGCAAATAGTGAAAAGTTCAGAATTATCAGGTTTCTGTCTGCTAGAACACCTTCTAAAAAAGGCTTGCAAGATAAAGTCTTATGTAACACGTTAAAAAAATTCCTCTCATTATATATTGTGCCAAGCAACTTTTCTAAGAAAAGAAGGAAGGGTTGGGGTGTGTGGAGGGGGCTAAAGTTTTCAGTATTTGTATGGGTCCATCTCCTCACCAGGCCTTTGAGTAGAATATTGCTTACAGACATGACCTTATGGAAAAGAGGAATTTCCTCTTGTGGATAACTCAGAATCCAACTTTGCATCTTATTGATAACTCAGAATCCAACTTTGTATGTTATTGATCTTTGTATCATATTATTGCTTCCTTAAATAAAAACTTTCTGATCTGGCTATATTAGCTAACTCATGGATCCCTCTCTGCACACACCATGTTCATCGTCTTTTCTGTGCCTCCTGATTGTTAGTCTCTATTACCTGGTGCTGGTACACAGCCAATGCCTGCATAGGTCTATGGAGTGCCATTCGCAGACTCTGTTGGGAAATGCACTCTCTAGGAGTTGTGTCACAGGGTGTCCTCTATTTTGCTTGTCTGGGGTTATCCTTCAAGGCTAAGTGTCATCCCTGTGGGAGGTTTACTTTGACCTACTAAGATTTCCGTAGTCCACCCTCTTCTAAAAGCTCGAGGTACTTGTCCATTGAATTGATGGTGACAAGGTCTATCTTGTTGTCGTGATTATGTAATCTCTTATTTAAAAGTCTTAGGCCAGATATATTTTGGAACGTGTACATTTTTGGATTTCGCTCCGTAACACTCCTAGACAGATCTGGGGCAGCAATCTGTCAAATGCAATAAAATTTCTGCTGTACAACAGAAAGTGAGCCTTAGCCTCATGTTGATCCAATTCACGTTTTTTTAACCTTATGATTTCAGAAGAGATTCTGCTATCAAATGAGTTTTTGCCAATTTGCTATCAAAGGATTGTGGAATTATATTATGGTTTGCTTAATCAAATGAAACGGAACCATTTACAAAGAGTGATGGTATTCCATATTTGTCATTCCAGTACTTAGCACAAACTACCAGAATAGATGCTCAAGCATAATTTAATTGTTACTAGGGAGATGGTAGAAAGCCATTTTATGATTTAGTCTAAGCTGTCCACATTTCCCTGAGCAAATGTAAATAAGGAAAATTAAATTCTTGAAAAATATTAACTCTTGGTTACCCCCTACTGGGAAATAAAAATTAATGACCTTATATCTCATGGAGTGCTTTAAGGGTTACAAAACCAATTTTTTTTAAAGAAAAGCTTGGAGAAGAATAAAGATGTGTTCTAAGTTAGCATTAATATACTCTGTTGGAGGAGGCTATTGGTGCAGGCAGGGCAATAACTGAGACCAGGACAGGAAGTAGTTACAAGACGAATGATGTGAATATAATGTTTTCAAGCCAAATATGTATCATCGACAACTGATTACAATGACTGGGAAATTCAGGACAGAAGAACTAGAAGTTTCTCCAAACTTGGCTTTGAAATTTAAAAAAAAAAAAATGTGTTTACAAGGACTATTTCCTAATTATATTATTTCTACGGTGAGTCCAAATGGCAAAGACCATAAATTTTCTCTTTGGATTTGGAGCCGATAGACTATTCAACAACTGCACGCACATCGCACACAATCATCATCTATAATAATTTCTATCTGCTCAATAGACATAAGTTAATTATAGAATCATATCCTCTGCATTTGACAAATGGGCATTTGAGGTCCAGGGAAACAAAAGCAACTGGCCTGAAATCTATCTGCCTAGAAAACCTACAAGTTGAAATTAGAACTCAGGACTTCTGACCTCAGGATCTCAGTCCAGGTTTGTTTGCCTCTTTTCCAACCATGTTCCTGGCATTTAAGAGCAATAAAGAATAGAATTGTTTCAGTTACCTGGGAAGGCCATGGTACATTTTTAACTAATTACTAACATTAGTGCCACTTACAGCTTGGAGATCTGGACTTCACCATGCAGGTGATGATGTTTTATGAGCTGAAGATGTCCTTGTCAGGACAAATTTTGCTGGTGTGAAATAGTTTTTTTTTTCCATTAGTATGGTGGGAGAGGTAAGATTTTACTTTCCAGATCTGGAGCTTTTGTGACCTGCCTCCTAAATCTGAATTAGAATTGACCAGATTTGATTTGCACTGGAACCCATCTCCTTTCACTGGTGTTCCAATGATGTGCCACTCACCGAGAATTTCCACAGACCTCCAACATCATTGCTCCTTTCAAAGCAAGTGGGCTCCAGCCCCTCCTCCAGACAGCACCGTATGGCAGCCAAGCCACTGACTCCAGCTCCGATGATGCCAACCCTCTTGCTCATGATTGCCTGTAGGAGAGTCTGGAGAGAACACCTTCAGAAGAGTGTCCTTAGAATAGATGCACATTGATAGTACATGCTCATTATTTTTACCACTTTTGCTATATAAAGATACTAAAACTAGCTGCTTCTGATTATTCAATATGTCAAAAATAGCAGAGTCAGTGAATGCTAGAGCAGGAAGGACCTTGAAGATCATCAATCCAATGCTCTCAATTGCAGATGAAGCTTTGGCATGCCGAGACTAGAAACTACTTCTTCAAGGTCTCAGAGGTAACAAATAAAGGAATGGGAAATAGACGTTTAGCCTACTGCATGACATCCTCTGTACAAAATCACTTCTTATTTTGAATGCTCTAAGATGCTTCACTTCTTAAGTAATCACCTTTCTCTCTCCAGAGAATTTGCAGTTCTCTAAATGTGGAAGAGAAGGCATTTAACAATATCTTTTGTGTAAAAATGGGAAAGGGGCAGGAGTTATTCTTAAAGTAAAAATTCCTTTTTTTCCTTGTATTTTTAATGGTTAGGGCCCTAGTAAAATCTGAAAGCGAAGGACTGAGTGTGGTAGGGATAAGAGAAGAACAGGGAGGGGTGGGTGGAGTAAAAAGAAGAAAGGGGTAGGAAAAGGGCAAGACTGAAGTCCCTGGTTCTTGTTACAAAAAGTATAAAACAGTGATTGCCATGGCCACTGGAGCTGTAAGGTGAAACTCCTGGGAGATTAGGGGAACAATGATTATTTTATTTATTTTTGCTTTGGAATAATAGAATATATAAACAAAGGCTATGCACCTGGACTATAATGGAACGTTTTGTTGTGCCAACAGTGAAAAGTAGCTCAGATTTCTGGAAACTTAGGAGGGCCTGATCTGAGTTGCTGATCTAACTCTAGTAGAGGAGCTTGTAAAACTAGTGAACTCAAAAGACAGAATGTTGGTCTTTGAAGCTTGTCTCTGGCTCCCTCACGTTTCTATACCTGTGCTTCCTTTCTGTTTCCCTCCTTCCCTTCCTCTGGCCATTCCTTTTACTGTACTGACAGCCTTCTATATGTCACGCATTATAATAGTCTTTTGGGGGATTCAAAGATGAGAAAACACAGTGCTTTCCATCCAGAACCATGAAGTCTAGTGGCGAGAGATGATAAATGTCACAGTGGAAGTATGGTTCAGTGTAATGCTAGCATGTAGGAAGAAAAATCTAAGTCCACCTGGAAGAATAAGAGAGGCTTCAAGGAGCTGAGAAGAGCACACTAAATATGCATCTCTATCATTCTTCTTTCAAGCTGAGTCTTGAAGTAAGAATAGATGCTTTCCAGCAGATAAGGGACAAAGAATAGAAAACAGGCAGAGAGAAAAATATGTTCAAATGCATAGAAAAGTAAGAACACATGACGGGAACTATAATAGTTCAGTTTTGCTGGACCATAGGTGATGGGAATAGCAGAATATGGGTTAAACATGCAGGACCCAGGTTATGAAGGATACTGAAGAGCGCAATCACAGGTTTGGATACCACCTTCTGGATCATGATTGTCCATTCGAGAATTTTGAACAAGGAAGTGACAACATCAGACCAGATCAGATTCACATGGAGACTGGAGCAGATGGTGACTAGAATCAAGGAGACCAAAAACCCAAGATGTTATTTCAACAATCTAGGCCAGAGAGGCTGAGGACTTAAATTAGAGTAGCATCAGAGAAATGGATAATAGAGACAGGATATATGAGATATTTCAGGAATTAGATGTTTGGGGACCTGCTGACTGATTATATGCTTAATGCTTCAGCAAAAGTACTTCTGGTTTTTAAGATTTCATATTATGATTTATATGCATATGCTCATGATTTAGTGCAGGAGATAAAAAACACTACATTTCCTGAAGAAAGGTGTATAATACAGGGAATTCGGTGCTTGCAAAAGGTCGAAGAGCTGAAATAAGCAAACTAGGAGATTGCTGCAGGAACCTCCTAGACCTACACCACTAGAGCTACTATCCAGAGGGCAGGAAACTGCTTCTATCACTGCAGATGCCTCCAACATACAAACTGGGGGGCTAAAGTGTGGAACATGGAGTTCAGCTGATGAAAGCACACCTGTTGGGATATATTTGCCCATCAACATTGTAACAAAAATTTAGCTTTAGCTTCCCTTTGCTTTCTGAGCCTAGATGACTATCTCACTGGCAAAACTAATTGCATCCAAGCCCTAACTGTAACAGAGTCTTAGAAATGTGGTTTTAGCTTTCCAATCTTGTAATACATATATTAAATGAAAGCCAGTTCTGCCTTCTTATAAATTTAGGAAATATTCATACTATTATCTAATATTATAGTTAAAAACTCAGTTATTCATCTCTTTGTGTATTTTCTGATAATTCTTGCAGAATTTAGATCTCTCTCCTGTAAAATAAGCAAATAGGATTAATTAATTACTAATGTCCCTTCAACATTTTGTGAGTCTCTTAACTTCCTGCATATACCTCAGTCAAGCTTTTCAAATATAGATATATATTTTCTGAAAGGGTTAGAAACTTTTCCATCAGCATCATGGGAGGAGGAGTGGAAGCAGAAGGCGATAAAGGAGAAAAGCCTCATGCTTCCTTTCCAGGACTTCAGGCTTCCCCTAGCTGCAGACTCAGCTGGAGGTAATACTGAAAAGATTCACACTGACAAGGAAAGCCCAAGTTTTTGATTATCACGTATGATGGGATCTATTTTCTGGATTGAGACTGTGTGTGTGATTTAATGAGATCACAGAAAGACCTGTTACTCAAAAATGATCAGGAAAATCAGACCTTGTGGGTCTTCTGCCTCCCCCTGCATTCTCACAACTTGGCAGTGTCTTTAGAGCTATAAGAATGTGGTATCCCAGGTACTTAATCAACTAAAAGTTGATTTGATAGGAGTTATTTGAGAGGCCAAAGCAAGCAAGACCATGAAACAAAGGGAGAACATTGTCCACAGTGTCTTGTTCTTCTTCCTCAGTGCCAGGAGCTCTCTACCAGTGAACCCTTTCTGGGCTGGTCCTCGAGCCCATGGAGGACCCAGGAGAAGAGACATGTTAAGGCCAGGGAGGTGTCATTTCACGAGCTCCTCTACCTCCCCCGGCTGGGAGTTCTACCTCTCTGTAGTGTTTCCATGTCTCCTTGTACTTAAAGTTCCATGCTTTTCCCTTACAGCTCAGGGCTCTCTAGGCCATACCACTGAGGCTGGCAGCCCCCAATGTCACATTAGCCACTCCAAGAACAGGATTAAGAATAGGTTGAGATTAATGAACATCTTCAGAATGCTGACAAGAATTTGGAAAGTGCTTTTTCATGTATTTTCTCCATTAACCTTGTAAGGCAGGTATTATTATTATCCTCAATATACTAATGAAAAACTGAACTGTTCAAATTTGCTAAACCAGCAAAAAATGATGACTTGATGCTATGTTTTTTCCAATACCCTATAAACGGGAATAGTGAGAAGACATACTTCAGAGAGTATGAAGAAGATATCTCTACTTTAGAGAGTAACCTTCAGAGGGTTATCAACAAGTATTAATTGAGCATTTACTGCATGCCAGGCATTGTTTGCAATATTAGAGATACGTGGCAACAAAAAGGACAGAGTACCATCCCCTAGGAAGCTAAGTTCTAGTACAGACTCTGGACATGGTAAATAAAATGCTTCAGGCTGTGCCTCACAGTCAGAAAATGATGGGGGAATACCACTAAAATAATCACTTTAAGATGTGCATTCACTGGGTGCCAGGCACTAAGCTAAGCACTTTAGATGCATTTGTTATTGTTTTCAAAGTACCTTATAAGGCAAGTATTACTGTGGCCATTTTTCTGAAGAAAGACTGGGACTTACCAGGTTAACCTGGCACAGTGATACAACTAACTGTGGCAGGCTGTGAAGATGCGCTGCCTCCCTTAAGAGAAAGAAAAGGAAAATGAATTATTATTGTACAAATATTTAATAGGTATCAGTCACAGCATTAGGTCAGATAGATGGGAGGAAGACACATACATTGTTAACTATGCTACAGCTTTGACCATGATTCACATAGTAACAAAGCTTAAAAGGAGCTATTTAAACCTAGAAGAGTGGAAATTTACTCTGTGGGAGGGGACTGGAGGAAGATTTGCAGTTGCATCAGTGTTTGAAAAGGACTTGAAGAATGAAGAAAAATGTGTGGTTTGAAATGGGGGCAACGTGTTGTCAGCTACAGGGACCATGGGAGCAAGGCACATACCCGAGAGTGCACACAGAGAGTTGGGCGAGGGCAGAATGCAAACCATGAGGTGGGGTGTATGACAAAAACTGTACATATTAGGCACAAAACATGGTAGATATTGTTGTGTATATATATATCCCCATTGTGAAATGATAAGCTATTTAACGTATTCATCACCTAACATAGTTACCATTATTTTTGAGTGAGAACATTTAAGATCTACTCTTTTAGCAAATTTGCAAGCCGTACAATACAGTATTTTAACCATAGTCACCATATTGTATATTACATCTGCAGAACTTATTCATCCTGCATGACTAAAACTTTGTACCATTTGACTATGATTACTCAATTTCCCCCACCCTCAAGCCCCTGGCAACCACCCTGCTACTCTTTGCTTCTGTGAGTTTATCTTTTTTAGATTCTTCACGTAAGTGAGAATGATCAGTATTTGTCTTTCTGGGCTTAGGTTAATTTACATAGCAAAATATCTGTCAGGTTCATCCATATTGTTGCAACAGGATGTTTTCCATTTTCAAGACTGAGTAATACTCCACTGAAGGTAAGCGCCACATTTTCTTTATCCATTTGTTTTTTTTTTTTTTTTTTGAGACCGAGTCTCGCTCCTGTCAACCAGGCCTGGAGTGCAGTGGCGGATCCTCAGCTCACTGCAAGCTCCGCCTCCCAGGTTTACGCCCA